GTCCTTCAAAACGGCCTTTCGTGAATCCAACCCTATCGTTTTTGATATTGTTGTGCTATCGTTTTGGCCCCTCGTGTTCCCATGATCTGGGGCCAGTACTGGTCAAGTGCGGAGGGGCCAGCATGAAATAATGAGGGCACATCAGAATACTACTATATGTATATATACATATACCTTCTTCTTTTATCGACGACTACAAGACTGAACCTTACCGTTTTTGTCTACTCCTTATCGTTTTAAAGGTCAAACGCTATCTCAAGATACTCCTTACATAACGTAAACAAGCGGGGTTATGATACAACCCCACTAGGTGTACTCTTGACCGTGGAACCCGGTACCACTAAAACAAACATGTTCTGCCCATCATCCCTGCAGAAGCCTCTATTCATGATGCTCGATTGGAAGCCGCGCCTTCCCCCTTCCAGCCAACCTCTGCCCAGATGCACTCGCCAGCTTGGCACATGTGCTCCTCATCTATTGGGTAAATTTTGAGTCTTCTGAAGCCTGAAGCACTACTCCTTGACCGTACACGGCGTTCGCCAGGAGTCAGTGAACGCACTGTCTGGAGCTGAAGCGTTCGTTAAAAATCCTGGCCCATTCTACATGGGTAACCCTGAATCCACTCAGACTCATTTCAGCTTCCCACAAACTTCAGAACTTCAGCTGGCCGTGGTTCCTTCAGTTTCTTGTTAGTCTCGACGCTGGTCGACTCAGGAGGCCATCCGCCAATCCTCAGTTAGCAAAGGCTCAAGACGCTCACGACGACAAGGCAAAAGCCAAGAACTGTGTCCACCCATGCAAGTCCATAAGCCCTCTGCGTGTTGCCCAAATCGGCAAAACTTCACTTGAAGGAAAAAAGACTTTTGCCGCACATTGGGGTCCTGGATTGCACCAACATTGTCTGTGAGGAATCGTTGCCGCCAGAGTCCAGCAGAACTGCTCAGGACGTGAGATCATTCCTGATCAAGATGAGGAGTGCAGCCAAAAGTCCAGACCTTCTTGTCTGCCGGCACACGGAACCTGAATTTGCTGTGGCACTGTGCTGCCAAGCCAGAAGTATGCCAAATCTCGAGAATGTGGCCTCAAATGCCGGCAAGAGGCTGCTTTCCTTTGCCCTTTCCCTTCCCCATCATCACCTCAGACTTTCAAGTCCAACAGCCCTGCATGCTTTCGAGATGCCTAGGGGGCTTACAGGCTAAGAGAGATTTCAAGATTCACATAGCTTGCTCTTAATTTTTTGTGGCAACCTTTGCGGAGCCTGGTAGGGTTTACTGCACATGTTCCGCCATGAATGCGTCTTACGTTGCAAAGGACGTGGCACAGTACTTGCCCCAGCGAAGGGTTGAAACGAACAGCACTCAGCAGGCCTTCATCATCGTCATGAAGTTGTAGGGCATCCAGCCCTTGCCGTTGCCACCCTTGCCTCAGATCCCCACGAGCCGAATGCGACGTGAGTTCAGCGCTCCGCAATTTGCCACCCATGTATATGCTACCAGCTATTTCTCACAGGCAGCTGTACTGTACCCGTAACTTAACTGGCCATGCAAAATGCCAGTTGAATAGATCCACGACTGGTGCAGCAATGCGAGAGAAGTCGCCCTTTCCATCAGCGCCCATGGTGATTGACGGGGGGGAGAGAGAATCTCAAAACCAGAGCCGGACAGCAGCTGCGGGATTCGGCTTTTGGCCTTAAATTCTCAAGTCCAAGTTGGGAGCCCAAAACGTGTCGGGAGATGGGGCAAAGGTGAAACCCCTGCTGGCTATATTGCGAGCTCAATCCTATCTCTGGCAGACCTTCAGTAGGACCGCGGCTGAAACAATGCACGCTTCAAGGCCTTGGTGTCTTGGCCAAGCCTGGCATGAGACTGAGAGTTCAACGCCTGCTTCATAACCCTTTGCACGCTCAGGGAATGAATGGAAGGCTAGGCTTTACTCCCAAGCTGAGGTACAAGCCCTCTGCACACGTTCGGAACTCGGAACCACAACAGCCCATGATTCCATCAGCCTCGCTGCAGATGCTGCCACTGATGCCAACTCGTCCGCTCGGAACTGCGGGGCCTGGCGGAAAATCGGCTCCAGCTACATGTATGTTTCGGTTTGTCATAGCATCGAGGCTTGAAGTGCCTCAAGAAGCAAAGCTTGCAAGCCCCTCTGGTAATGTTCTGAATCCTGACTCTCTCAATGATCTGTCCGACCTTGGCTGTCGAAGCTTCCGATAAGGCTCCTGCCAGCTCCCAGGCTTTGTTTTAATGTCAACTGAATCATTTTATTGCGAGCGCTTTCGGCCTGGAACTTGACTTTCCAACTTCCGTCTTTTATGGGGGCGGTTCTGGGGTCCATGTAAGGATTGACTTCCAACTCACGCAGCAGTTCTCTCTATGTGAGTCAAAGGGCTGCAGCATTGGAGTCTGGTGGTAAACCCGTTGGACGAACCTTCACCCTATCCTGGTCATGTTAGACCTCCTTTAGTGAAGCGCCCCCAAGATGTGTTTTCGCCGCCTTAAAGAGGATCAGGCCAGATAATCCTGATAGAAGGCCCGCTGTAATCTGTTTCGGCTTTGGGGTCCCAGACCATCCATCATCCCATTCAAATCAATCCCCAAGAGTCCTCAGAAACAGAGGACGCTTAAATTTGCCAAGTTTCTGTTTCCCCTGCTGTTGGGGGTGTCCCGAAGATTAACGAGGGCCCAGCAGGAATTTTGTGAGGTCTTTAGCAAAGTTAGGGCTTGAACAGGTTGTCAGAGCCCAGCACCAATCAAAACAAACTTGAATGAATCGAACTGCCAAGCTGATGTTTTCCGGAAAATGAAGCGTGGCCTTCCGAAATCGAGCAGCTACTTCTAAGTCATACAGGGCTGGGTGAAAGTGAAAGGGAATCTGGACCCACACCGCAGGTCTACGAAGTCTGCTCAACTTCCCACACTCCATCTCATGCCGCCTGACGATACCATGGCCCGACCAGCGAAATGACCGTGCATGCTTTCTGTGTCAGACGGCTGTCTTTTTGTCATCTCCGTCCATCAGAAAACGCTGGCGCCTAGGAGGTCTCTCTGCGATGACCAGCTGCCAACTGACAAGCACGTCTTGATGCACGTTCGATCATTTCCGGGACTTTTCATGCGCAGGGAGGCCAATCGAAGTTAGGATTCGAATAAGGACTGCTGATAGCCATCTACCCAGTTCTGCAACACGGCACCCCAGAATCTTAAAAAACATCTCACGTGAGCTATAGTCAAATTCCTTCTCTGGTTAACGGACACGGGCTTGGGGTTCTCTTGTTCTTGCGACCCCTAGTGTCTTTTCAGTGCAGACGAAGATCCCAAGGGAATGCTTCAACACACTATCCTTTGAGCCCTACCTGCAGTTCTGGTGCGATGGCACCTGTACTTTACATAGACATAACGGCATCAAACCCAGCCACAACAATTCTGTGCATGCTCAGCAATGTTTGCAGGGCTCTGAACCAGCTTCCATCACATGTTGTGATATTTCCAAAGTTCTTCATTCAGGCTTCGGAGCGCTCGCCCTCGTGGGTATGTGCCGGACATAAATCCTTGTTGCGATTATCCCTGCTTTTGGCACATAGAATAGCAGTTCCATTGATGCTGAGATGTTTGCATCAAGGCAGGAGCGCCTGCTGCCGCCCAAATGATGCCGGCCAGCTCTTGCGTCCGGAACCTTTTCTCGGTCAGCAGAAACATGAGCTGCTTTTGAAATCCTTGCCCATGCTTGCAGGAGGGACTTGAGACGTTGGGACAGAAGAAAAAAAATTCGCCTCGGGCGCTGAGTTCAAGCGTCAAAAGAAGTGTATTCTGCATGGTTTGCTGGGTTTTCACAAAAGCTTAGAGAGAGTAAACCCTGCCAAGAAAGCCAATGCTTTATCTAATCATTTTGCGCCACTTTGGGTTGAAGTAACCTATGAAGTTGGGCAACTAGCCTTAGGTAGGCCCCAAAAGCGCCAAATAGGCTGCGTATCGTTGCCATTGATTTACCTGATTGAAACTTAGCAAACTGAGCTCTGATTGGTTTCAGACCTCTAAACCCTTGCAACAAAGAGACCAGAATAAAAGATGAAAAGCTCACACCCTGGTCCGGAAAGTCCCTACCGAGAAAGCCCCTGCAGCTCTAAACCTGTATCCTTGCACATTGGGTCCTGCCCCACCCATTAACAGTCTATTATACTCTACTAGGGTCATATGAAGGGCTCTGTATAGTTATATTACCATGTAAATCCAACTGTTCATGAGTGTGGCGTTATCCAACTTACAGACCTTGTTTTTCCAAGATACGGGGGGGCGGTCAATTCCAGCCACTCTTGTTTTCTCGGCCAGGGCTGCCCTTGCCACATGGCACAAAACAAAAAGACATATTCCCTGATTCCCAACTATAAAACCACTATCCATATATGATCCCAGTGACCCTGGCTTTGCTAGGAACTTCTTGTTAGATGCTCATCTATCCAAGTTGGGTGTCCCCACTCAGCGGCCAGCACCACACCTTTGTCAACCAATTTGGTTACCTGGCGAGACATGTCAGAAACAGGGCGTCTTACTTCCTGCCGGAAAGCATATTGTGTGTAGCCCAGAACTTTTATGATCCTTGAGGAAAAAGGCACAGCATAAAGAAGCCAGCATGCCAATCAGTGGCCTCCTCTGGGGATTGATGTGCCACCTTGGGCTATGGGCGGAGCCGAAGCGAGATTCCAAGGGGCCAAAACCCTTGCTTCACAATAATGTATATGATACGCTGACTTGGACTCCAGGGCTCTTGAACTCTGAGCTTGCGACAGCAAACGACCACAGCACATTCGCAACATGTTGAGTGCCTCAGAGTTCAACTTAGGTCGCTGACTCACTTCCCAAACGCGAGACTGACTAGCGATGTTGAACAAGGACAGACATAATGTTGGATCCGGATTAGTGTGGGGTCCCCTAATTGTGCGTTTCGTCGAAATTATTCAGCACCCCCTAGGTTCGTTTGGGGTCCCTTAATTGTGCAAAGTCGCGCGGCCAGAAAAAATACTTCTGAGAATAAGTGACTACAATGAATAAGCCTTATTTACTTTGAAAAGCATGGCAGGCAGTCGGTGTTTAGTTTAGGGCCTTTGTTATTTAGACTAGAGCCCCTTGTCCAGAGCTTTCAGAACCTCAAACCTCCGAATTTTGAGGACCTCAGAACTCTGGATTTTAAGGTTCCAAGCCAGGTCCAAAACTATCGATTTCTTATGAGACCACTTATTCGAGGAGGCCTAGCATTCATTTTTCCTAAGGGGTAGTCCAGCAACTGGCCGGATCCTCAATGATACGAAAGATTTGGGGTCCCTTAATTATCCGTCAGATAGCAGAAAGCTGAACCCTTTGAATTTAAAGGCTCAGCATTCAAAAGCCACGCCTTCAAGATCTGAAATCTCCGGATCCTTTCCAGAATTCTCCTCAAAGCCTTCTGAAAGGTTTCTGAAAACTGAAATCCTCTGAATTTCCCAAACCTCTCTGAATGCCTTCCGAAACCCTTCTGATGTGTTCTCGAAGCCGATCTTGATCCATCCTATTGAATCTATATAATCTAAACCTAGGATCCGAGCCGATCCTGATCCATCCTATTGAATTTCAATGAAAACGAAGAAACCATGGATTGTTTCGGGGTACCCCCCCCTCTCCATTAAATAGGGACACATTTTTGTCTGGCGAGGTGGGCCCCCGCACTAATCAGGACCCGACATTACGAGAAAGCTGGGGCAGGAATCTTAATGTGCATTCCTTGTCTGGTTTGCTAGCCCAAAGTTCTGGCAGTCTGAGCTGCACACCCAGGGATGTCATGTTCCTGCACGAGGCGGAGCGAGACCCAAAGTCTTGCCCGGGTACACAACACGCATGTTCGCAGGGGTAAGAACATCTTCTACACCTGGGGCCTATGTTGTTACCATGTACATCAACTAGGCCGAACATTTTCACGCGGCAGCAACAGCTGACCGTGGATTCCTCTTCAGCGAGCCTCAATACCATGCTCCGCTTGAGCAAAAAGAAAGATTGCTGGTGCCTTCGAGACCTGCATTGCGGATCTCACCATTCTGGGGAAGGGGATGCTAATTCTGTTCCCTTGTCATGGATCCTGTCAAACAAAATCTGCATAACTCCCCTGTTACTTCTTTGTTTGTAGGAAATAAGGGCTATAGAATCCCTTTATACTATCTTCCCTGATTGCCTACTTGCCCGCAGTATGCCTCTCTTCCGCGAGCCAGGCAGCCGCCGAGCGAAAAAGGCTAGGCCTGCGCTAGTTACTGTACTTACTGGGAATTAGTAGGGAATAAGGGAATATATAATGTAGGGATGTATAGGGATTATATCCCCTTATTCCCTACAAGCAACCAGGACGTGTATAGAATGCCAAGGCCTGTGTCTTCAGTACACTTGAAGGCACACGTTTGGAAGGCACGGTGGCCGACAATAGGAAGGTAAAGGCTGTCACAAGACTTGGCAGCTTCCCGTAAATAGGCACCAAAATACTCGTCCTCATAGTAGGGACCCTCAAAAAGGGACTTGTAAATAGGAGCCAACATCCTGAGGGCTTAGCCTAGGCTATGGAGGCCCTTGTTCCACAGCTCCCGGAGCTGCTTTCAAATCTTAAAGCAGCAGCTTGGACGGCATTTTACAGGCAAACACGCCTGTTGCCTCTTCGGTTATGGATGCAGGGTCTGCGCACACACTACCAGAAGCTCTAGTGTGATCCCCCATCGTAAGTATACATTATAAGAAAACTTTGGGCATAACATTTCCTAACATACCTAGTGACGCAATAGGATTGACTGAGCAGGAGACTCTTGGAAGGCTCCTTTGGACATTGCCCACACCAAGGCGGACCTCTGCCAAATAGCTGATGTAACCATGCACCTAGCCCCTCCAAGTACATCTCATTGGAGCTGTATATGGGATCCCCCATGATGCGTGCTTCCCATGCACACAGGCCTTAGCAAGGGGTAGTTGCAGGGTCTTGGTAGATGGTATTGGCTGTGGCAACACTACAGGTGCTTTCAGTCAAGGCCATAATACAGGATTTGGAGTATACATGGTCGACCGCTAATTCAGAAACGCTCATATATGACAGTTGCAGGAGTTGTGATGGCAACCATGGCTATGGGACCTGCGAGTTAGAAATTAGGATGCTAAGCACAGAAGTGTAATGGAGACCATTCAATTCGCAACAATGAGTAACTGACAGAGACACTTCATGCCTTCTTCAGGACTTCCCTTCTAAAATTGCCTTCATTGGGGCACTAGCAGTTTCAAGCACACAGCTACCACGAGATTCTACATGCACACGCCGCACACACTTGTTTGATGCAAATTTGCAGCCAAGCTGCATCCTCCCAAAGCTGAATCCTCAAGAACCCACCCCTGACTACCTGGCCGGTCTGGGATGGCTACAGCTGTGTGGCCCCAAACTCGTGGATCTGACGACTTGCCTGGCGGGCGCAACACAAGTTCGAAGGCAAACGGTTGGCGAAAGAGGGACTTGATTTGTAACTGAACATCTGTAGAGCTTTGGGCTCAGAGAAGCTTTGGAAGGCTCGACACTCTCTGCCCAAGCCTCCTGCAGCAGAAGTGCAATCACAAAAGCTTCGACAGGCTGCAAACATGCTGGGCGCACAGACTCGGCCACTTCATCAGCGAGGCGCCTTGGTGCAAGCATACATCAATGCTGCAAAGCACAAACTAGCTGCACTTGTTGCTTTGATTACCACTCTGGCGCCGGGTCAACTATCACAGTAAAACTTGCCTCTTGCTTCACTGGACTGACATGCCTCAGACGAAGTGAATCCTGTGACTCCACTTGTCTGTACTTTCTCTGCGAGAAGTCCCTGCTTTTCAACTGCAGGTTATACACCAAAAAAAAGTGCTCATGGCTTGAACAGCTGAGATCAGAGCTTATCAGCTGCCGACAGCACCACTGAGGCCCACATGAAGTTGGCGTGGTCCTGCGATACTCCCACACCCAAGCAGTTTTGAAGCGCACTTGGCCCTGGTGCCTGACTGTATTCAAATGGGCTTTACATGGCTTTACGCCTTACGCACTCTCTCAATAGCAAGGTGCGACACCGGTTCCTGCGGATTGCAGCGTCCCAGTTGCTTGAGAAGCTGCGTGCTGAGCGCAGCAACAGTTTTGGCCATCTGAGCCTCCCCTGGCGAAGGTATGGACCGGGTGAAGCTTTTGAAGCCGCTGGGCCGAGTGGACGAAGGCTGAGATTTGCCCCATCCATGACGAACTGCTGTTCTTGCGTATCATCAGCTTTGTGAAGCAGTGCTCACACTAAAATTTGCCAGCCAGTCCCACATGGACGGTCGTTGCAGCAAAGGCCTGAGGGGCCAATTCCAGCTTTGCACTCGGGAAAGGCACGGCCAGATTTAGAGGTAACAAGTTTGCTGAACACGGACAAATCGTAGAAGCTAACCGTGGGATAGATTTCAATGCGCAACATTCACAGTCTTCTGCGGCACGGGCTCGCAGCCAGAAAGGAATGCCTGACACTGAGTGCCTGACCCAAAGCAAGTTGCACCTGGTCGTGGGGGAGAATTCTTTAGGTTCAGGTGAGCCCGGCAAGTCTTGACTATTCCGAAGCACCTGACGGAAACTCAGAAGAAGTGGTGACTAGACAGCTTGCGGTTTTATCTGAGCTACCTGCATCAAGTCAAAATCAAAAGTCAGTCATGCAGCTTGAAACTCCAAAGCGGCATGCTTGGTGCCAGACGCTTCTTGTGGCTTGAACTGCATTTGGTAATCCCAGGCGGGCCTTTGGCAAGTAGCGCGTCTCATAAAGCTATGCAGGTATGCTGCCGCTGGAATGGTTCAATATGAAGGCCGCAAACGCAGAACTCCTCCTTCTTGTCCCGAGGTGGTGATGATTTCGTGATGTTCTGGTTGATGACACCAGCAGGACCATAAAACTATGTCGTAATTGAATGCATTAAGTTTCTCGCTTGGCAAAGACCTGGCATCGCTCATCATTACTCGCCGACATCTTGGCAATGGCCTCAGTGCTCAAGTTTTCAAGTGCTGGGCAAAGGGCTCCCACATAAATCTTCAAGGAGTATGTACTGCAAAATATGAGGCTGCACATGCCAAGCCTGCTGGCATGGCAAGCCTCCAACGCAAGTTGGGGGACCAAGGACTGGGCCCAAGCAACGTTGGCCACGTGCTGCGGCGCGAGCTCGCTGACCCGGCACATGGTGAGAGAGACCTTGGTTGTCTGATGCAGCTTGCTGATCGGAACGCTTAGCCAACAGCACTTCCTACGCATCTGCGATGGACTCTGGAAGAGGCGGGGGGCAAGGTGTCCATTTGGGATTGGATAATGTGCGACCATATGAGCTATAGTCTAAACTCCTAAGATCCCCCTTCATAACCCCTATCCTACTCCCCTATAGAATTTCCACGAGGTGACACCCCTTGAAGGAGTTTAGGCGGCTACAGCTCACATCAGCTTGACAGTCATCCTCCAAGGGCGGCACCACTTCCGCAACATCTGAGGCTGTGGATGACACTTTGGCCAAAGCCCAAACCTTAGTTGCAGACCACCCGGGCTACAACTCCTGTACCTTACAGAGATTGCAGCTTGTGAATCGTGCCCACTATCCCAGTAAGCAGCCTATAAGTGTTCGGAGAGAAGAAGAACCTTGGCCTTGGAGCTGCTGGTAAAAGGAACAACACTTAGCTGTCTTGTGTTGTGCTTGAGCATTTCTTGTGATTGTGGATATACGAGTTATATGGACATCCTGCCGACTGGTGTAAAACATGAGCACAATGATGCTGGCACCCCACTTCCAAAGAAATCTTAGAGAGACTTCCTGCAGGAAGTCACGCCGCTTTACCAATGCTTAACACTGGCGCACCCCTCCTGGACTCTGACAACTTTGAGGCTATTGCCTGTCGTCCTAAGCAGCTGTACCTGCTGAACTTTCAGCTCAGCCGAGAAATTGCATAGAATTTGCCACCCTTTCGGGAGGGGGCGGATGGTGCAGGCAACGCGGCCCCTGAGCTGCGTAGACCTGCAGCCACCTGTTCTTGCTGAGCCCAGAAGGGTCCAAGGCTATTGTTTGGTTGTGTTATGTTCCGTTTGAACTAGCGAGCAATAACCTTTGAAGCCCCAGGCTAAGCGATTTGCCTTTTGAAGGAGTTTTTTTGTTTACTTCATGGACAAGTCCTGAACCTGCAAAAGATTCCAGCCAACCTGGCTCTGCACCCTTCAGTTCCCCATTCAAGTCTGAAGGCAGCCGCTCATCCTTTGAATTTCTTAGCCTTGGACCCTTGAAGTCAGTCTACAAGGACGAATCCATGCTCTCTCCCTCACGCTCTCAGGATGTTCCCGAGAAGGAGATGTCACATTAGGATCTGCACTCGGTCTGTTTAGGGGGCTCAAAAAGTGGATGAAGGTAGGTGGGTTAAAGGACCCCTAGGATATACTCTACTATACTCTACTATATTGGGGCTTATTTCCCATACCCCACCTCTTGAGCCCTCTGATATTTACACAGCAGCCAACAAACCAAAAAAAGCACTTGCCTTGAGGTCCGCTATGTATTTTTGGGCCGACTTACTCAGGATCAGGGGTAATGACGTAAGGTCCGCTTCAATGTGTTTTGATTTCGGGGCCCTAAAAAAGAGAAAAGATTCCCAACTCTCCCTTTTAAATCACTCCACATGTGACCTCAGAAACGTGGGAGGCTGACTTGGTTTTTGAGAGACCGTAATTCCTATTTTTCTGCGGGCCCTATTGTTGAAGAGGGAAGCCCAACACTAAAGCAGGCCCCACATTACTTGCCAAGGCTTGCCATGCCACACATATATCTAGAATACTATGGAACTCACTTCTTACACACCACCTTTGGGGCCGTTGCTTTCTTGCTGTCTTCTAGTGAGGGAGAGAAAATGTTTACGCGACGCGCGCAAACATAAACAGGTCTCCACTACCCCGTGGAGGTTGAACCCCGTCAAGGCGGTTGGCATCTGGACTCTTAAATTGTTGGAGATACTTTGACGATACCTGGCCCACGCATATCATCACAGGCAGCTGATGCGGAAATGGGGCTCAGAAGGCCCCTTTCATAGTTTTGGCATGCCTTCCGGTCGTTCCGTGCGCAACGAAGCTGTTTCAAACTTACCGCGTTAAGCGGCACGATGACGTGCGAAACAACTGCCTTGACATGACCCAGCGGTCTTCATCCCCTGCGCGCTGCTCAGCTGATCAGCATTACCGCTACAGTAAAAGATGACCTTGAGCTTGAGCAAGGGCTGATCTAGCATCTGCCAAAGCTTTCAGCTGCGCATCTCGAAGATGTAGTCGAACCTGATACAATCTGCCAGTGAACTTCCATCGCTGATCTTCAAAACTGAACACGTCAAGCCGTGCATCGTCCGCACTCGCGCACAATGACAATCATGGTATTTTGCATGAACTCCGACAGCCAAAAATGTGTCAGGGGCGTTTGAGAGCCGTGTGGATGCTGGAAGATCCCTGGATACAATGATACAACATCTTCCAGATGATAAACATGTCACTGTGCTATCCAACCGCTATACGTCTATGGAATTTGGTACTACCCCAAAATACAGGAACCCCAATGTAGTCCCAAAGTACTATAATCCTTACTATTGGGACCCCTCAAACATACCCCCTAATTTTGGGAAATCCCCATATCTGTTCTTGCAAAACCCCTGGGTGTCTAGCTCAGGCTGCGGTGACGGCACGCCGAAGGTAACAATGTCGCCATGCTTCAGGGCCTGGAAGCCAAGTGTGCAAAGTGGCCCCTTTTGGTTATATCAGGGAATAGATAAGGGAATATAGGGGTTAGGGTTTGAGCCATGAGCCCCTCTTGGTTATAGCTTATTATATTACGGCGCTGAATATCTAGGGATACCGAAACAGGACCCTAATTTTGGGAACTACCCATGTGCAGAATAGGTAGCTCTGTACAATCGATAACTGCGGTGGTCAATTTCTCTAAGAACTCAGTAGATCTTTTGGCCTGTGAGACGTCTTATCTCACAAGAAAATATGAAAACATGCCATCAGCAATTAAAGTCTGGCAGCTGGCAGCGAGCTGGCGCATGTTTGCTACGCATACGCTCACCATTATGCATATCTTGCAGCCTGGCGTCATGGCTTCTGCTAATGGACGTCTCATGTCATGGCATTTGCTTACACTTACGAGAAACAATCCCCGAAAACTAAACCTGATAATGCTGGGGTTCGGCCTGCTTCGAGCTAATGCGGGTGCCGTTGACGTGGACTCCGTTCAGAGAGCCCTGGTCCTTGGCATTCTTACGTCAGCTTGCGAAGCATTGGGGAAAATCACGATCCAAAAGACGCAGGAATGTGGGCAGTACACCCTCTGAATCCTCCGCACGAGCCCCTGGAACACAAAATCCAGAAGTTTGGAGGCTCAGGGTTGATGTGAACTGAATGCATTACAAATGATAACGTGTATTTGCAGGTCGCAAGCTCACATGTTGCCCGCCGACGTTCGGGGCAGTCGTCTTGAAGGCAAGAGGCTTCGATCATGCAGTTTTCATCCTCGACCGTCACGACGGCGTGCGATCGCCTCAGGGCACACAGAGCTCACAAGCAAGAAGCGCAGCCGTCCGCCTTTGCATCTGCGCTGACTAGCGGGCTTACTTTGCATCCCTCTCAGACCTGTCGCCCACCAATCTCACAGGCTGCGGCGAGATCATCTGCGGAGTCAGGGATGAATCAAGGATGACCTGAAACGGGGTCTGGATCGCATAGAGCATGCGTACATCATCAAAACATATCAAAACCAATCAGGCTGCAGGGTTGGAAGGCGCTTGAGCAAGGTTAAGGCCATCGCATCACAGGCCTCTCCCCGACCTTTGCTGCGACAGGGCTTTGGTTTTCTGAGACACCAGTTTTCCACAGCAGGGTAATGTGAGACTCACTTCGGTACAGGCAGGTTTGACCTAGGCGTCGGCAGAAAAAGCCCTTCAAGCAACTCCTCTTGTCCTTTGCAGTCCGCCAATCGACTGGCCAACCATTACAGCGCGTCCCTGTACAGAACACACAGAATCCAAACCCCTTCCTGAGGCAACGGGCCGATCAACACGCGATCCACCAGTGAGATCACACTAGGCCTGTGGATGTCGCGAATCATTTAGGAAGAGCCATCCTCTTCATTTGGCCGTTTCTAGGCAAGGCTATATGCCGGGAATAAAGGACTCTTAGTCACTGATGGAGATGGACGGTCGGCTAAAGTCACCCCACTTGGATATTATGATTACTGTCCAATCCCTGGCATGGTTCAAGCTCTGCCTTGAAGACCCCCTCATAGGTTGCAGCCAGGCTAGTTGTAAATGGGTGGAGTACAAGCAGCATGCAGCCATGCGAATCCTGCACCGCCCACTTCACACTGCAACATACCTGAATGCTGAGCGTACGAGTAGCTCCTTGAGTTGAACAGAGCGTAGCGTGGTGCATATGGAAGTGCAAATTCTGAAGCTCAACACGGCACGGCTGGGACTCACACTGCATTCGGCCCCCGTAGATGCACCGCTCGTGCCTAACAGGCTACATGTCCAAACAGCGTGTCCATGCATGTGGGACCTTGAGAACAGGAGATCTGCTACTTTGAGGCTGGCGTGTGGTGCTGGAGGTTGGGGTGCGCATGTGATGGGAGTCTTCTTAGGGCAGGAGCCAGACGCAGTTGGCTGTAACATGCTGAAACCTTCGCGCCTCCTCATTCGGGCCATGCAGCCATTCCTTGCAGAACCATTCGCTTGGTCAGCATCAGTATGTGCAACATCCAGATTAGGAAGCTGGTCACAGAGAGGTCTCGCACACAACATCACAATCTAGGGTCAAGGTTTAAGCGGAACCCACCGATAGAGCGCATAATCGAAGGGCGGGCATTTAGCAAGGCCTATGCAGCAAATCGTCAAAATAAAGCCTTCGGCCAACAAATCCCATAGCCCACCGCTAGCACTGCTTCACGGATCCGAAATCTAGGGCCCCAGCTTCCACAAGCAGCTGCCGCCTTTTGTCCATGGGAGAAATTGTTGGTGCCTACTATAGGGGTTGGCCAGGACATCTGAGGGCATAGATGGGGAGGCTAATAACGCCGGCATCTTGCACTTTAAGATTTTACGGGACACGCAAGGTCCAGGCGCAAGCTCTGTGTATGTGATGGAAAAAACGTTTGCCAAATCAAACCCAGAAGGCACTAGACGCCTTTATCAAATGTCTCTAGCCTGTTCCCAGGCTTCTACTTGAACTGTGTGCGTACCACCTTCTGACCACCCGGGCAAACCAGCACTGTGGCCACATGAATTTCGCTACGGGTCTGCCACCAGCCTTCGTCGCCATGAGCCTGGTCATCAGGCTGTGTCACTTGAGAAATAGTTGGCAGGCAAACACCCTGCAATCCACATTTGCAAGGCTACTCAATCACTGCAAATGGTGAAGGCAAGCTGCGCTGTCTGCTGGGTCGAAGAACTGCGTCGCAGCCAGGACTCAGCACCACAAGGATTCATCTAGTTGGCCACAGGGAGATTCTGCATGGCGCTTTTTTATATAGCTAAGGTTGCTTCACAAAGCTTTGGCTCTCAGGAGTAGGGCAAGGCGGCAAGGCTATCACGTGCATCCACGTTGTACAAGCTCGTGACCAAACGGCACACAAACTTATGTTTCAATCTCCAGGCGAGCTCATTACCTCACATTGGTTTTGCTTGCAAGGTGTCTTTAGGCCTCACCATCATTTTGCGCGGACACCTTTTTTGTTGGTAGCGTTGCCGCGGGAGTGTGCGAAGCCTTCAACCACAACATTCAAAAGTGAGTGACCGACCGTCTAGCCCCACTAACAGTACAGAAGCTACAAGAATGGCAAAAAGCTTGGGAGTTGACACGACTGCCTGGCAGCCGGCGGGAACTGGGCAGCCTGATGCAATGTTAAACAAAACATATGAGCGGGCGGCTAAATTCAAAGGCTCTGGTTGGGATTAGGTATCGCTTCCTCAGGGAACTTGGGGGTATGGCTTTTGGGATCAGGTATCGCTTCCTCAGCTCTTTGCACTCATTACCTCCTGCAGTACTGCCACAAAAGGCTGCCATTTCGCTGCTTGCACATATATATATATATATATTTTTTGTTGTTTAGATGCGCTTGTATGCATGTGCACATGCTACACCAATGAATGGCAGCAAAGGAGGAGAGGTTTAAGAGCACCTTGTCGTCTTGCCTCTACCTGATATCTGGCGAACCCTCCTCAGAGCTAGTGGCAGGTCAGAAAGAGATCAGGACAACTACGTTATACGAAACCTCAACCCACGCAGAGCCAAGCCTTCCGCGGGGTTGTCGAGGCAGCCGAGGCTGCCTTGCGTGGCCTGGGCTTGGCCCAAGGTACCAAGGTAGGAGAAAAGCGCAAATCTTGCGGGCGCCTCCCTGTCACACCGTAAGTAGCTTCCGAACTCATTCGTAGCGGACATTCCCGAAAATCCAGCACTTCTGAAATTGCATCCTACACGTTTCAGCCCCTGGCGCTTGCAGCGGCGCCGGAGGTGGTAATCGGCTGGTGTTCGCGGGGCGCGCCCTTGCATGGCACGTCATGCTGGGCGGAATTGGTTCAGCATTTGAATTGCCATGCAGTCGCCCACGGCATCCTACACAGGCCCAATTCTGAGCTTGTGTGCATGGAGTTGGGTAAGGTCACTCTCGTTTATTTCAAACCAAAAATAGCTTGCATTCCAAGTGCTAAGGCTGCTAAGGCTCAGACTTCTTCTTGGGCACCGGAGGCGGCATCATGGCTCCTTCCAGCTGGCGGCGCTTCTCACGGATCTGGCCTGCAGCGACCAGATAGGTTTGCATTTTGATCAAGGATCCTCAGCTACTCTGGTCTGGGTGCCCCTACACCAGTTGGGGGTGTGGGTGAATTCGTTCTTGTCTTGACCGAACTGAAAGGTCTTGTAATGAGGGACCAGGGCAGACAGCAATCCACTCCATGCCCATGGTAAACATGGCGGATGAGATAATAGGGTGAGCCGAACCACATACTCTGACTTCAGGGTCTGGGCACGCTACAGCACTGACTGTGCATACCATGTAACATTCTGGCACGAGTGGAGTTCAGAGTGCTGCCCTAAAGCAGAGATTAACAATGCGCTAAGGCTTCAGCTCAAAAGCGGAGGTCGCACAGCTGTGAAGATTTGCGTGTACCTGGGTGCTTGTTGAGATGTGTTTTCGCATCTTGCCTGCCAAGCCTCTTCTGAAACCGACAGCGAACGGCAGCGTCCATGATGATATGCAGCGACATTCCAAAGCCCTTGCTGAGAATGATCTGAGCTTCCCGCACTCCTTCACCCACCCCTTTCTTCAGATACCTTTCAAGCCCAGCTCTTAGGGAATATCAGGCAACTATTGATTGCAAGGCCTGAGAACCTACCTACGTGGGTCCGGGGTTTGGACGAGCCAACATGAACATAAGAAGACGCTAAACCCAAACTTGCGCAATCGAATGCAAGATCTGGCCAGTCAAATGTACATGCTGGCACTATGATGCCAACTTCCACAAGCCGAAATTGTCACGCACAAGCCAACCGGCAAAGGCATCAGCTCTGTCCCGCCACTGCGTCAGGTCATTGTCTGAGTTCGGTGAGCTGGGCTTCGGACTGAAAAGAGTTGAACGCACGGGTGCCTCAGTGCTTTAGACACCACTTTGCACCAACGAATTGTCAGATTGTTCACAGCACAGAACCCTTCCAACAGCTTGTCGTTCCCTGTCGCTTATGAAAGATACCACTATCCCTCAAAATTATGCGTCTCTCGTAAGGGTTCCCGTAAGGGGGATTACATTACATAGTTCGGAGGGCATCATAATTTTGAGAAATACGTATATGGTGCTTAGTGCCCAGCGCTGCGGAGACAGGAACTTCCAGCAAATGACCTTTCATGCTTCCGTGCTCAGTAATCTAAAGTTGTCCCTCACGGAAGGCGTGAACAAAGGAGGGATTTTGCAGGGAATGCAGGAGAACCCTTTCTGCACACTCCTGGGTTTGAACTACTGGGCTTCCGCACCCTTCTCCTGCTAGCACATGGTACTCCTCCCTTTCATGCACAGTAACTGTGGTTCCTTGGCGTGTTGAAAGCAGACGCCTGGCAAATTGTTCGGACTGCTTGAATTCTGAGCATGCTGATGCCATTCACCATCCGATCACGATACCTGGACGAGCGTGGACAGCAAATGTACTTTCCAAAAGAGCCTCCAGGGGCCCGGCAGAGTCATGTGCCCTCTCCTTGACAGCGTTCACCGTCTTCAGCCTGAAGGGAGCCGAACTTGAGTTGCCATGCGTTAGTTAGTTCAAACGTCCTGCAGCGACGTCCGCAGATCGGTATGACAATATGGGCAAGTGCTTGCTGCAGAGCTGAGACGCAGGTCAAAAACTCAAAGTCTGCACCTGAAGTAGCTCCAATCCAAGGCACCCCCGAAAACAACCAAAAGCTAAAGATACAGCACTTTGCGGACGGGTGATCTGGAGCCCCCTGAAGTCCTACAGTACCACAACACAACCCCACAGCAGCTGGATCCATCACCAAATCACTGAGATTGACAGACACTCATGTTACGCTGAGGCCACAGCCAAGCGATGACACGCCAGCCTTTCGCTGGGCCAAAGCTTACTGTGGCTGCCTCGAGCTCCAGGCACGTACAGTAAGAGGGAAGAAAAGAGAGGTCATCATGCAGTTGCAGGATGATCCAGCAAGCATGTCTGCAAACATCACCGAAACAGCACAGCAATGCAACAGCCCAGCGCCTCAAGAAACACATCACATAAGAGCGCGGCACACATCTGCTTGCGAGGAAGATTTGGCCTTCCACAGAGCTTTGCAAAGGCGTGGCGCACGGACCATCGGATTGAACGCGTCATGCTCTCAAGGCATGATAGTGCATCATCTGATCTGGAACTTGCCACGAAGTAGCAGCTTGCAAGAAGCTAGTCGGCTTTAGCCAGCTATGCACGACAAAGAAGAAGATAGAGAAGGCCATATAGATTGTTATCTGCCCAAACCAGGTCATGCCCAGAATATAGCAGGAGCCTACTGCAGTAAGACTGTGAGAAGGGAGCTGTCTCTAGGCGTCAGGCTCTCCAACGCTGCGACCTGGCAGCTTGCTGCCATCCTCGGGCCTTCAAACAAAGGGACCGCGCTTGAAGAAAGAGGGTGGAGGGGGAATGCTGCTGCCTTGATATCAGTCAGAAGGTAAAGAGCGACAGCTTACTGTAGAACATGCAAAGTTCAACCAGTTTTAGCTGCGAAGGTTGGCCATGTCTCTGAGCGTGGTACTCGTCAATCTGCTCGCATTTGACCAGCGCGCCATTCTGACCTCACATGTCAGCTGCTGCTGTGTAGGATCGCGGCCTTTGCTCCTAGAAAGGACGGCCTACAGTCAATTTAAGCAATGATCATTCGGTCTATCAATATAAGGCACCGCATGGGGTGAGGTCATGTCCTGAGGTCGCTATCAGCTGGCCAGAGTGGATGCCAGGTGTAGATGTGCGTGAATTGAAACAGCCCTCCCCCAAAGGAATTCAAAACAACTCACAGACTGGCTGAGTTCAGCAAGAGCTTTCCGACAACTACTCATACAACGCACGTGGAAGCTGATTGCACTAGATTTCCCTTGAGCCCGCGCTTGCAGAGTCGCCTACCAGAGGCGACCATGCTTCTGAGAAACTGGCTTTCCCCTTCCATCACAGTCTTGCTCCTGGCCTTGACCTTGGAACTCTGAGCAGTAAAGCAGAACCATAAAACCCGGCTTTGTAGAAGAAGGACTGGGCAGGGGAAGTTGGGCCCAACGCGTCGGTTGAGACGAAAACTGATGTATTGCGGTTAGCAAGGTGACAGGTGAAGTAACAGCACCTCTTGGTAACGCCCTTCCATAGTGACTCATCTGATATCTTATGGCTTTGCTCTGGAATAAGGTGCTGGGCTTCTGGCTTTGGGCGTGGCTTTCAGGAGCAGCACCTTGCTCTTGCCCTGAGAATAGCGTAGCAGTTGAATGGCTTCCGGCATCTAGCAGGAGGCAGTTTCACGTATTCCTTTCACTGAGTGCGGTCTTCTGGGCTCTCGGAAAAAGTAACAAATACCAGAGCCCATGTGCGCGGTAATATCCCAGCAAAAGTTTGGTGGCCCTAGAAGCAAGCCAAATCAAACAAAAAGAAGCATGTCTTGGGCTGCCTTGGCTTTTGCTTTTGCCTTGGCCTTTGCTTTTGCCTTTGCCTTCGGGACTGCGGCTGCCTGCCAGTGAGAGGAGAGACCCGCATTCAAATTCCAGCGGCTGACATCGTAAAGCCATGCATGCTCTTCCTGTCGTGGTCTGCCACAGGACTACTACGCCTTGAACGTGGAAGTGGTAGCGGCTAATCTAAGCTACATGGTACAAGAAATCAAAGGAGAGACTCACAAAATATCGGCAATCTGCAGCAGGTACCAGACGGCTGGTAGTTCCCGTTTGAAGTGTACCGCAAGGGTTTGGGATAGAATGTACGCAGCGCCGTCTTACGTGAACCATGGGGCTTGCTTTCCGCCCGAGATCCAGACTTCAGGGTGAGTGAAATTCACATGCGCCTGATCACTTCTCATACATGTACTCACAGAACTGAACTCCATACGTACCATCAGCGCCTTGGCCTTGGCTTTGGCCTTTGCCTTAGCCTTCGCTTTGGCCTTTGCCTTCGCCTTGGGCTTCGCCTGACATCTTTTTGCCAAAGCATTCAAGCCCGGGACCGGGCAACAGCACAAACAGTAAATGAGACCGAGCGAATTTCCTTCGAGATCTCATACCTTCAGGACATTCCGCTACTTCCCACGGGCTGAACATTTCAGCCCGTCAGCAACATGCAGCAAAGACACGTCTGAAGTCCATGCGTAAAGTCACTCGTCACTTGCACGTAAGAATCACAAAGTGACTGTGAAGAATGTCCGTCGTGGCCTGTGAAGCTGGCACCAAGGACTGCGATTCCATCTTCGACTTCTGAGAGCTTCTACCTGTGACCTGGGAATCAGCAACCTGCTCTGAGGGACATCTCTGGCGGACTGCGTGAGTTGATGGAACCAATGGCGGGGTATAGCTCAGGACACAGGAAGCCCAACACATCATCAGGTCCTTGCGCAGTTGAAGATTGAAACTGTCTCCCAAGCTGAGCTGTGGGCACTCGCCTGTGAAGCTGGACCTGAATAGTGTGTGTGTGTGTGTGTGTGTGCGTGTGTGCGTGTGCGTGTGCGTGTGCGTGTGCGTGTGCGTGTGCGTGTGCGTGTGCGTGTGCGTGTGCGTGTGCGTGTGCGTGTGCGTGTGCGTGTGGGTGTGGGTGTGGGTGTGGGTGTGGGTGTGGGTG